TGAATCGTCTATTAATTTCATAAGCTTTGGCAATTTTTGGGCAAGAGTTAATAAAACTATCCTTACATGAGCATGAGACACAAATTTTGAAACCTAATCCTCGTTTGTCATATTTAAAAAATTTCACATCGTTATTACAATCTTTGCGCTTTAATAGTTGTTGCAATGCAGTAAAAACGAGAGTAAATTGCAGTACGCAATAGTTCATATTTGGATCATTTTTTATCAAATCAAATCGTTACTTCTCTTTAATTTTTCTGCCGATGTACTTGCAAATTCAGAACTAAGTTCACTTGTATCTATATTGATTTCCGGCAAACTTTCTCTTACGTAAATGAGATGGTCGGGAAGCATCGAATTTGCCGTGTTTTCGTTTCATTTTCAAACAATGTTGTCTTTTCGAGCAATATATTAGAACTCAATAGTCAACAAACGATATTTTGTATTGTATATAACAGATGATAGGAAGAACGACGAATATACGAAAACACCGAGAAGGGGAAACGTTTCGGCCGACTGAACGACGCGCCGGCGGCCGAAATAGCTAGATCAGCGTAGACGCCTATAATGTCCGAAATACTTCGAATTTTTTTCCTAAAAATTTAGGAGAACATTTTCGAAGGTGTATACTATCGATTAAAGCAAAAAAAAATCTATCTTTTGACCCCGAGAAAGTAGGATGTCCCCTTCATTTAATCCTAACCTGATCCAAATTATTACATCTTTGTATATCGTTGGGCGTTGTTGAAAAGGTCTCTTTAAAACGTACAACGCCTGACCGTATGTCTGATTACGAACGATGCGTGATTAGATTGAGTTAAGTTAGGATAAGTTTTTTTCGGGTGGGGATGCACAGGAGGAAGGGCTGGGTCGCTAAAGTTAAAGTTAAGCAAAGGATGGTCCCGTAAATTTATTTTAAAGTAAAACGTGTAACGTCTATTTCTGTACCGCATGTATACCAATTTTGCAAATATTTATTTAATAATATACACAATTATAAATATTAATAAATATATGATAATGCATATTCATTGTCGTATGTTTCAAATTTATTCGCGATATTGTACTTGGTAATGTTGGATATTAATACTTGGTATTGATTATATCGAATATTTGTAGCTCCTGAAACATTCAGAGAGACACATGCAAACGTTTTGTCAGTGTCCTTCAAGCAACCGTCGCGTGTACATCCGTACCGAATTTTCGAGTACGAAATTCTATTATTTCGGCTAAGACGACGTATGTTGCACGTTATTTCTAAAAAAAAATTAATATTACAAATAAAGTAATTTTTGTAATTTTAAGTAATTCGTAATTTTAATATGGACACAGAAGATATGACTGTATATGTAAAATTCGGGACACTCGAACCTAACGAGTATAATAGCTTTTTTCATCCGAATCTCTGCCATGTGTGTAAATTACGAAATAATGGCAACTTGATAGAATGTAATGAGTGCCACCTGATATCTTACTGTAGCGAGGAGCACAAAATGATGCACCGGCAGCAACATTCGGAAATATGCGAAGATGCATCGTTCTCAGTAAGCATTGCAGGTTGGTACACTGATACAATTACTTTACAACAGCAGTGGATTGTAGCAAAGAAAAAATGTGCGACATATATCCGCCTAGGATCTTCACGAACTCTGCAGCGATACGAATATCAAATGATTATGTATGCAAAATCGTGTCTTATTTGTCAACAACGCATTGCATTGTCGACTTGCGAAATCTGCTACTCCGAAAATTATTGCTTTTATCATAAGCAAAAGTTCCAAGCGGTACATCGCACCCGGTGCAAAAGTCTACTTTTATTGCTCAACATCAATCTTATAGAAATGAAACGCCTTACATTGCCATACAAGATGAAAGTCGTTGCGCTTGTTGATAGCAAGTTTATTTCTGACATGACCTCGTTTGTCGCGCACAATCTAACAATTGCACCAGATATTGATAAAATGATTCGGATTAGCACACAATGCGCCTATTCTGACTGTGTGTCAGGACTGTTGACGTTTCATAGTGGAATGCAAAAAGCAACGTTATCGGATCTTCTGCAAGGAGATGTTTGTATTCATGTTATGGCTGCAAATTCTGTAGATGTAGAGAACTTGTTAGCTTGGGAAATTTTGTTGCATTTTTATCCTGCTATAAAAAGACTAACCGTTATACTGATAGGGCCGGAGGTACAGCCCTTACGTCCCGACAAGGACGTTTGTTCCACCTGTGTATTTAATGAACAAATCTGTAATTATGAATTTTATCCGATGCAGTACCACACATATGTGAAAAGTTCGTCTTATGTACAACCAACGGCGATTATAGGGTTTCAAGTGGAATTTGGTGCATTTAGGGAAATATGGGCCGATTCTATAAAAGCACTTTCAAGGCAGAGCTGTCCGATACTTTTAACAGCTAAATCTAACGAAGAAGCGATGAAGAACATAATTCAAATGGAAAATGTTCTGGGAACTATTGTAAAACCTGATATTTATCTTGAAAATGACTTCAAAAGTTTTAAACCGTTCTTTGATATTAACGCCAATTTCGTGTGTTACCGCAATACAATATTAACAGTATTTAAAAATTCGTTAGCTCTTAACACAGGCGATGCGAGTTAATTGGTTACCAGTTGACGTATATAATTTCATCATGTCTTGAGTAGCATTAATATAAATAGAATGCAGGATAAGAAGTTAATACAAATAGATTAGGGATGATTTTAAGTGAAAAGTTTAACAATAATTTCAATGAGTAATAATTCTCATTGCAAAAGGCGACAGCCGATTGAATATTGTTTCCATAAATTATATATTTTATTTATTTTATTTAATAAGAGTTGTATCTTTTTCCGTTAAAAAAGCAATTACAGCTTGAACTTAATTGTTTTAACAGTTTATGTTTCTTATTTCAGCCACTTTTTGTGAAATAGATCATCAAGCTATGAATGTCATAATATTGATCGGTATTCACGATAATCATCGTGATAATCATCAACGATCATTTCACGATGCAAATTATTATTTATAAAATCATATAAATTACTTGGATGAAATGCAATCCAAGTAAAATATTCGGTAAAATATGGACAATTGTGTTTTTGTGCAATCTTATCAATCAAAAACATCATTAATTGTTATATATATATATATATTTCTTTTAACAACTTTTTATGACGATTAGGAGAGCAAGTTTAGATGACAATCAATACGACGGGTAATATCAAAAGTATTTCCACGAATAACGTATAACAAAAGATACATAAGAATTAGACCTTCTATACGAAAATTGCGCCTAACTTATCACATAATATATTTTTACAATAGCGGTTTTATATCCCAATTTTGTAATCACATGTTTGAGAATATATTATTATATGACTTTTATACAAAATACCTGTAAATCTTTTTAAACGAGCGCCAAGATTTTCCAGAATCCGATGTATCGTGATTCAATTGAGCGACAACATCAGAAGTACGCTGTTCATTATATTTCCGTTCTCTAAGTTACCTTAGTTACAGAAGAAAATAATGCTTTGAGCAATTTCCGTATTAGTTGCTGGATACAGATCCAATTGTATGTCGCAATTTTAAAATTGCATGAAATCACTGATTTGATTGACACACATTGATTGCGGGCACACGAGCAATCGTTTTGTAGTGCACTGTTTTGACAATAAAAAAGGTCGCTTATACTTCAATTCGATTCGTCTCTATCTTTATCACTTCAATCTTTTACAGAATATTCCAGGTATCTTGTTATTTATATTTTGTTTCTATTTGTATTGAAGAAGGTAACAAATGATAAACGAGTTCTCGTCTGACAAGAATCTTTTGAGGTAACGTAATAAAAAGCTTTATACTGACTAATCATTCTTGTTGGTACTGCTTATCTTCGTTAGGGATTGCAACAGAGACATTTGATAAATAAACAGAAATTGCTGCTAAACAATCTGTACCATATGTATTCATCCGCATATTATGTAAAACTTATATGCAATTGCATATAATTTGTTTGTGCTTGATGTCAAATTGAGATATTAATCACGATGTGGAAAGAAAAATCAGATACGCGTATAACGAAAGAATGTCTCGATCTCCTCTTTATGAAAGAAATCATACGCAAAATTAAAATCATGTGCAAACGACAATATTACTTTCCTTAATAAAATATAATGATGGTAAATCGAATCTCGTTACACTATTTCTCAGGAAAATTTGTATGTATTTGCTCTTGCAAGTATCCCAAGGATTAAAAACAGTAATAACAAATTATAATATTATATGATATATAATATTATATAATATATAATAATATATAATATTATATATTATATAATAATATATAATATTATATATTATATAATATAGTAATATTGATGTAAGCCTTCGCGAGTCCTATGAGAGTACGATTAAAATTGAATCCTGAATACCTCTAAATCTAAATCTTACTATCAAACGAATTATAAAATATCACATATACGCATAAATAGAAATATATAAGATATATAAAGTACAGTAGAAAAGTTTTCAATGAATGCTAAAATATCTACTCTGCTTTTATCGTACTGTAATTGTTAACAAGGAATTTTTAACAAAACTAAATGTGCAGCCAAGATTGTTTATTTTAATTGTTTGGATTGTTTATGAAGAACTCAATTGTTGATTGTTTTGTATTATTAGAAAAATGCAAACATAGAAATTTCTTTATTAACTGTGAACGTTAAAGTTTTATTTTATAACGAAACGTGGGAAATTCCTGTATATTCAGCCCTATGGGTACCTTACTGGATATAATTATTTTTATATAATTTCTTAACAAAGTTTGCGGCCAATTTCATCGTTTCTAGCTACTATGCGCTTCTCAAGCGACTGTCAATTGATCCAATGAGCAGAAACTGTTAAAAAAGTGATTTTGGTAATTTAATGTTTTATATGCGTTAGTAAAAAAAAGCTATTTATATAAGAAACACGCAACTAGGACATAGTCTCATATATATATATATATATACAGACGGCTGCAGTACGGTTTTTATGAGAAATTTGAAGACTAGACGAAGTATACGCACGCCACCTTCGCCACGCTAACTGCCTCCAATTGGATGGAGGCAAAAGAGGAGGACAAAGGAGACCTGTGGTACAGGTCAACTTCCAAATTCTTTCGAGAAAATTCTTTCTAGAAATGGTCAGTCCGTGTATACAAGTCCATGAGTTAGGAACCACGTAAAGCCACGCCGTCGAAAAATTTTAGTAATCGTTCTATTTCGATCCATCGACCTATCGACGGGAAAGATATTTTTAGAATAGAGTGTATCATAATAGATAAAGTACCGCAAAGTACTTTGTTTAATAACGCGCCACACGATCATTAATTCTCGAGAAAAACTGGATACGCGCCATAGAACGTTTCAAACCTATTCGCGATAATATATTCGGTAACGGACACTTGTAGCTCGCTGTATATTCAGTTACGCTTCACACCGTCAACAATTCCCAGGACACTTAGAGAGAGACACGTGTAACCTTTGTTAGTATTCTTCAAGCAATCGCCGAGTGCACATCCATACCGAAGTCACATGCACACGGAAGTTTATTACTTCGAATAAGGCATTTCGTTGCGTCATTTCTAAAATAATATTACAAATACAGTGCACGTAAAAGTCGACCAAACGGACATATCGATATGGACGTAGCAAATATGACTGTATATACGGATTTTGGGACACTCGAACCTTATCAGTATAATAGTTTCTTCCACCCGAACCTTTGCCACGTGTGCAAGTTGCGAAATAATGGCAATTTGATAGAATGTAATCAGTGTCGCTTGATATCCTACTGCAGCGAGGAGCATAGATTGTTGCACGAATCCGAACACTCAAGAATATGCGCTGACGCAACGTACGCAGTGGATATTGCAGGTTGGTACACTGACAAATTTACCTTACCGCAGTGGGTCATAACGAAGAAAAGGTGTGCGACATATATCAGTATGTCACTTTCACGAAATCTGAAGCCATACGAATTTCAAATGATTACGTACGCAAAATCGTGTTTCCTCTGTCAGAAATGTACTAATCTGTCGAGCTGCGAAATCTGTTATTCCGAACATTATTGCTCTAAACACATAGGAGAGTTTCAAAGGGAACATATTTTCAGATGCAAAGAACTACTTATAATACTCAACATGAATCTCTTACATATGAAACACCCTATATTGCCAGGTAGAATAGAATTCTCTACGTTTAAAGTTCATAATGGATTATTTAATATTTGCCACACGTCTTCATTTATCTTCGGGCAGCATTTGATAATTACATCAGATGATCCATTTATTCGGACTTGTACGCAATGCGTCTATTCCGAATATGTGTCAGGACCGTTGACATTTCATGATGGATTGCAACTAGTGCATTTATCAAATCTTCTACAAGGAGACATCTGCATTCATGTCATAGCCGCAGAGACCATAGATGTAGAGAGTTTGTTAGCTTGGGAACTTTTGTTGCATCTTTACCCTGCTATAGGAAAACTAACCATTATACTGATCGGGCCGGAAATAAAGCACTTATGTTCTGACCACAACGTTTGTTCCACCTGTGTACTTAATGAACGATGTTATAATTATAAATGTTATTCGATGTTGTATGATAAATATGTGAGAAGTCCGTATTACATAGAACCAACTGCGATTGTAGGATTTCAAGTAGAGTTCTGTAATTTTAGAAAAACATGGTACAAAACTATAAAAGTACTTTCACGTCAGATTTGTCCGATACTTTTAACAGCTAAATCTCAATATGAAGCGAGAAGGGACATACGTGAGATTGAAGATGTTTTAGAAACTTCGGTACCACCTGATTATTATTGTACAAATGATTTCAAATCTTTTAAACCATACTGGGACGTTAAGACTGATACTGTGTGTTACCGCAATACAGTATTATATATCTATAAGACCTTGTTACCTTATAGTGCAAATAATTCGGATTAATTAATAATTAATTAATAATCCGTTGATATATGTAGTTTTATCATCCATTTAGTAATATGGAAGTAAATAAAACTACACAAAATAGGAAACTTGTATAAATGGGTCAAGAGTTTCTTTATGAAGAAATTTAATAATAGTTTCAATTAATGACAGCTTTCACCGCAAAGATCGACAGTCAATAGATGAACGTTATATTTTAATTCAACAATTACATGTTTAAGAACAGTTTTATACTTTTTTTTTACTGAAAAGAGCATTTGTAGTTTGAAAATTCTTATAGCAGTTTACATATCTCACTTTTGTAATTGTTTGTAGGTATAACATCAAGCGACGAGTGTTCTAAATATTAATCGGCATTAAATCGTTTCATACAAATTATTGTTTAATCTTATATTAGTGACCGATAAGATACAACCCAAGTAAAATATTCGCTATAATATACAGACAATTGTTTATCTCATGCCGTCTGGTAAATATTAATAATTATTTTGCATTATTATTTTAACGAATTGTACTTGAGGATGCGAAGATCCAAGCGTAAGTAGCAATATCGCGATTAATGTCGAAAATATTTCCACGAATAATGTTTGACAAGTACACATGAACCACACATTTTGTATGCGGAAATTGCGCCTAAATAGTACGTAACCTGGCTTTGTAACAGCACTCTTATACCGATTTGTAGTACACATGCCCAAAAATACATTATTATACAAGTTTCATACATATAATATCTGATGAAAAAGGAGTAATTTATTTGTGTAACAAAATTCGAGCAATCCTAAGTTTCCTACTTTTTTTTTTCCTTTTTTTTCCTAGTTTATATTGATACGAGCAGTGTAGCCGTCCCCTGAGACAATCTGAACATCCGCAGGTGAAGGAAGTGCAAATCTCGAATACAAAGTGACCGCAGTAGCGACAAATCAATTTCTACTAAAGCCGGCACTTCGTACATAACGAAACGGGAATTCATTCAGTGTGTTTCGTTAGCGTGTAAGACGGAAACCAGTTGCTCTGGTTCACCTCACGCATGTGCAGATGGAGAACGCACCTGCGCAAGTAAGATAGGTAGGTCTATATGACGCCCAGTCCTGTTCCAAGGGATTTTACCTTTCCTTAAGTGCCTAATAATATGAGGATTCCAGAATTATGATATTTTTTTACGCGAAGTATATGATATATGTACGAGCTATTGTATTGTGTTTATTTAAATAAGACACATGATTCGCGTGCATTCTACTGTGATATAACTAGGCCCGTCACGTATCTGTCGTTAATCGATATAGTATTCCCGTAAATGCAAATTAATTTTTACAGAAAAGATTAATTGAAATAGTTACGGCTGTATTAATTAATTAATAAGGTGTCACTGGCAGTGCGTTGGTAAAGGTGGTAAAGGTACCAATTCACGTTGTGTCATAGATAGTAATTACAGTCTGTAAAGTAAAAGCGTGTACGGCATAAATGGCATTGGCTTCAAATATCGTCCTAGTTTTTTTGTGAGCCGTATTGCGAGTGAGGCATATCTCAAGCACAAGCTTCGAGGAAAAAAGAGTGTGCACTTTGAAGCAGCTGACACGACATGAAATTCGTCTCATTTGGAGATCTTTACCGAACGAATACGCAGTCAACTTAGTGGAAAGTATGCCTCGGCAGATGCCAGGCAATTATCAATGCCGGTGGTGACTGGACTCATTATTAATGGTATAGCATTTTTCTTCTCATGGAGTACAACAAATTCATGTACTTAAAAATCATTAAAAATAATTTTTTCTACACATTATCCCGTACACGCACTTACTTTACAGACTGTAGTGGAAAGTAGCCTCGGAGATGCCAGGCAATTATCAATGCCGGTGGTGACTGGACTCATTATTAATGATATAGCGTTTTTCTTCTCATGGAGTACAACAAATTCATGTACTTAAAAATCATTAAAAATAAATTTTTCTACACATTAACCCGTACACGCACTTATTTTGCAGACTGTAGTGGAAAGTAGCCTCGGAGATGCCAGGCAATTATCAATGCCGGTGGTGACTGGACTCATTATTAATGGTATAGCATTTTTCTCCTCATGGAGTACAACAAATCCATGTACTTAAAAATAAATTTTTCTACACATTAACCCGTACACGCTCTTACTTTACAGCCTGTAAATATACCTGAATAGGCTCGATTAGGCATTTAAAGCTCGAATGATCATTTCGAGTGATAATAAAGCTACGCGATAATTCTGTATGTGTCTTACAAGTTTGTTAATTGATTTCGTCTTAACAGTGCACACCAAACAGCGAGTGTTGCGCTCCTTTTGTTTGCAATCCATGGGCCAGCCACATTGCACAGGAGGACAGGAATCATGGAACGGGGCCTATGGCAATGACAACGGCAACGGCAAATGGAAAACCATGATAACGACAATGGCGGAGAGCCGATGACAACAACAACGACAATACCCAATGAAATTGGTTCGTCTTCGAGGATTTGGAATTTTCTTGCATAAACCTGCAACGATTTAGGCTCACATTTCGTCGTAAAACAAAGATTTATTCCATGTAACTAATTGATGTGAATAATTGCCGATATATACTTATAAAATTACGAATTGTAACATCAAATTTTTCTTTCGTGCATTTTCTCATAAAACCTTCTCCATATTAACAGCCACGTTGTTACAACGATCAGGTTGCTGATAGCTACAAGGATGATAGCTACAAGAGTACATATATCGTACATGTAATTTAGGTTGCATGCGAATTTAAAATATTATATTGTTAATATAGACCGCAGCAAGCTGATCGATATAACTGACGAATTCTCAAATGCTTGAATCTCTCACTCAAGAAATTCTCAATGCTTGAATCTATCACACAACACGGCTACTACGTATAATTTGTTTCGATAAAATATCTCTGTATTTTACGTTTTGATGTGATTGACTTGCAACTGAATACAAACCACGTATTTGCTCGAAACTTTCGGTGACGAATGTTCTTATCTTATATAACCACCAATAATGACGTCTTGTTGCTGACGGAGGTGTTAAGGAAAGGGATGTGGAAAAAGAGTATTACTGAGAAATTGTACGGATGAGGATTGGTAGTGTACTCAAGGTGGTGTATGCGAGGTATAACAAATCCACGAAGATCATGATATCGACCATTTGGGGACAAACACGACTCGTAGGTCGATATCGAAAGGCACGGTAAGTTATCATTTGTATTCATTTGAGTGATAGTGGTAAGTATTCATTTGAGTTGCTTTGAACAAACGTTAAATATATAAAAAACATACTGACATATTGTTACATATTGTCAAGAGAAAACACTCGGGATACCGACATCGGAAGGATTGGAGGTCGCAGTTTACACTCTTCCTCCTAGGCGTCGCATATGAAAAACTATGCGCGCGCAAGTCAGAAGGAGAAGGAACTGTCCCACCACCAGCGGCGCAATTCTTATCAACTCGTTATTGGAGTTAACGACACTTTCGTTATCGTTGCGCAGCTTTTGTATACCGTAGAAAAGCTGCGCAACGATGACGAAACTGTCGTTAACTCCAATAACGAGTTACAGACTCGCACCACAGACGTTTTTGAACGCTGCTTATTATTACACGTCCGTTCTCGTGCCTTCTTTTGTTAACTTCGCATTAGCCTTGTCACGAGAGATTGCTTCAAGTGGATTGTGCGTCAAAGCTTACTCGTTTCTGTAAAGTGATACGATTCCTGATCAGGGGGTGTTCTTTGATATCCCGTTTGCAAAAGGGACATTATACTAATCAAAATTCACGGCCATATAGAATTTTTCTCACGCAACAAGAAAGAGGTGGTGAGTCTCTCTTTTCTTCTTTCTCTCTCTCTCTCTTTCTCTCTAGCCTGAGGCTCACCTGTGATCCCCTGCGGGGTGAGGTGGCGAGGACGACGATAAACGTCTCTCTTTCTCTTTCTCAAGCCTCAGGTTCGCCTGTGAATCCCTGCGGGTTGGGTGCCATGTGTACTCTTTTAAGAGTATATGTACTCTCTTTAAGGTGGTAAAAAGAGTACTCTCTACTTTTTACGTATCGTACTCTTGTATGTACTCTTTTTTCGTAATATTAATTATACTTTGTCGATAATGACCAAAGAGCAGACTTCGGTGACGTTTTCATCACTCACAGCATTTGTGCGCCGCGAGCGCCAATACCGATTATGCGTAGAGGTTCTGCGCAACGATGCACCGCTAGTTACTACGTAGGCAGTCTGAAAAGTTCTCCACCTGATACATACATAGCATTACAAAACTGTCAAACTATAATTGTATTGGAAAGTGGCATCTCTGATATAAACTGATATAAACCCATGTAAAAGGAGAAGGGTCAATAAGGCCGGTTTTTGGGCCCACCTCCGATTAGTCTCAAAGTACGTCATTTTACCCATCTAAGTGGGCCACATTACATACTGTAAGGATTTTTCCTAATAATGATTTAATTCAGAGAAATAGGCATTTTTATATTCCCACTTTACATGGGCTTTCGTACCTTCGATCAAATGATGCTGGGTTTCATATTGTTAACATTGCTCACGCAAGATCATACTTTCCTAAAAATTGCGTATATACATGCACTACAACATATGTCAGAGCCATCATTTTTCTCGAGGTACTTCGCCTTTAAAATACAATTTTTTGCACACTTTATTACGCTTGCGTCCGCAAAAGAAGAACAAATCCTTTATCTCAAAGAGAATTGCTTCAAAAAAACACCAAAACAGATGAAGATCGACCAAAATTGTCCGGCGACGTACGGAGTGCAAAATATAATTATAAAATATCTTAATAATATAATAAAATATATGTGTTCGACTAATATTTCTCGATTTATTTAGTACACGCTATGTTTTATTTAAATATTTAAATATTATTATATTATATTATATTTAAATATTATATTATATTTAAATATTATATTATATTTAAATATTTAAATATTTAAATATTATACCTAGTAATCCATTAATCACTGTCCCAGATAAAACATAAAATCATTTTGACGTCAAAATGATATAATTTTTATATTATTTGACGTCACCTTGACTTTTATATGATTTTGTGTTCTACTTA